GAAGAAAGAGAACAACAAGGGTTATTTTTCAGTCCGTGCCGGAGGATCCTGAATGACCGGAATGCCGTCGAGGTCCGCCAGCTCTTCACCTGTGGTTTGGTCGATGGCTGGAGCAGCAGGGTTTCTGGAATCTGGATTCTGAACGACGAGCGCCGTCCTGGTCTCGCTACCAACTACCGGAGCAACCCCGACCTGAATCGAGGGACTAGCAACCTGTGGAGGTGCAGCGGATAGCCACGAGGGAAGAGGCATCACAAAGTCCTCCTCCTCGGCCTCCTCTACTTCCAAAAACTCGAGCTGGCCCTTGAACTTCTCAAAGTTGTCATCAAGGACCTTCAGCCTCTCCGCAGGAATGGTAATGCCGTCCTCTTCCCCCATCTTGACCAGATAGCCCTTGATAGCCCGTGATTGACTCATCAGTTCTGAGAGCCGGACGACCTCCGCGGAATCAGCAATCGACCTCTTTATCCCCGCCAGCCTCTTGTTGCAATCCTCCACAGTGCTCCCAACAACCGACGACCTAGACTTACGGAGACGGTCAANTTCAGCCTGAAGGGAATCCTTCTGAATAATCGCCAGCTCCAATTGCTCCACGGCATCCCTCTTCTGCGACCTAAGATCCTCAATGACCTTNTCCGAATCCGCCATCATTTTGCCAAGATTGCTGATTCTGGACTTCAGGTCGGGAACCTTCTTCGCTTCCGCCTTCGCTGAGTCGAGTTCCTTCTTCATCGACTCGAACTCCCCCTTCATCGACTCCTGCTCCTTAAGCTGCGATTCATATTCCACGAGCTGNTTCGAGACTTTGAAGAGCTTGCGCTCGTACGAAAGGACCATCGAGTTCGTATGGGTCATTAACTGCAAAGAAGGCAACCAGGGCGCTAAGGGTTAACGAACAAAATGAAAGAACCCAAGAAAAACAAAATAGGCAAACAAGAGCTCACCTCCACCGAAGCCCCGCAAACCCTGCGATAGGCTTCGAATTCCTCCAGCTCCTCCGGCTTAGGAAATTCGTAGGCCTCATTGCAAGGGAATCGAGACCACAGATCGGCGCACGCCCTAGTGTTGTTTATCATGTGCTCAGGCGCCCTGAAGTCCATGTCGAGCGTGTAGTCCCTGGAGTCTACGGAAGGAGAGGCTGCAGCCGAGATAGCTTCGGGGACAGCAGAGGAACTTACCCGGTTGTAAGTCCGAGCCTTCTTGTTTCGCCCCTCTGGAGCATCCTCCAGCGATCTCTTATCCTTAGGGACCTTTCTTGCAGGCCCCTCGGCTGCAGCAGCAGCTGATTGGCCGGATTTCTTCTCCGCCAGCGCGGCCTCAGCTCGCCTGGAAGACGGGGCTCCGGACTGCCCCCCGGCAGGGATCCCCTTTCCAGGTGGACCGGTTCCTCTGAGTGTAGAGGCCACATTTGTCTTCCTCTTCACGCCAACCTTGGCCGACGTTTGCTCAGCCCTTTCAGTCGCAGCGGGCTTCTCGGTCGAAGCGACCTTTCCAGCAGGAGCGGCCTGCTTTTGCTTGGCGGTCTGCCCAGCTAGGGCGACCTGCTTCTCTTTAGAAGCCTTGACCGCTCCATCTAATGCGGCCTCGTTATAATCTACCCTCCTCCACATCCCCTTTGTCTTCTTACCCATCTGCTCCGCTGTTCGTTTAAGAGTCTTCGCCTTTGGAACAACCGGAGGATGCGAGAAAGGACGGAGAGGTTCGAGCTCGAGATCGAAACAGCCTGCAGAAGAGACGAAGGCGTCATCGAACAGAAAAAGAAGGAAAAGAAGAGAGAGTTGACAAATCCGAGATCGGGAGAACGGAGCGGACACTAACCGGTTAGGATCCTTCCAATGCACCTTTGGATCCTTTGCTCAACGAATTCAGGCCAGATCTGGGGGCCCACTTCTCGATAAATCCAACAAGAGATTTTTCACCAGACTGCTCGGGGTAGAGTATCCTTGGCGGCGGTCTGCCTGCAAGCAAAGAAAAAAAAATTAGACGTCAACCCGAACAAAGAAAAGAGAAACACTTCNGCAAAAACGTACTTATGTTAACATTCCAGCCCGCACGAATAGGCCACTTGGGATTTTCTACGGACGCAGCGTCTATTTTTACAAAAAAGTAAAAACACTCCCAGTCCGCGCTCTTATCGGCGTCAGAGCCCGTGATCAGCCAATTGTATTTGGGTTTGGCCGAAACATAGTAGCGGCCTGACGAGCCTCTCCGCTTCAGCGCAGTTAACCCCTCAAAGGCGTCGCAGTCACAAACCAGTCCTTGCTCCGCAGCCAAAACCAGGTACACCATAAAATTTCTGATAGACCCATGGGTCAGCTGAGAAATGGCCAGGCCGCGGCGAGCGCAGTACTCAATCAGCAGTCGCGGAATCGGGAAGAATAGTCCGCTCTCATCGAAGAAGGATACATAAAGACATATGTACCCCTCCGGGGGCGACCACGGACGTTCGCCGCTCTGGGGGACACGAAACTCAACCTTCCTCGGTAGACCGCGGATAGACCAAATGTTCTTGAGCATGGACAGATCGGCCTCCGAATCGAAATCGTCCTTTCTTGTCAGCTCGATGCCAGGACCTAAGCCCGGTCCCAAAGGCCCCAACGCAAGTCTGTCGACAGACATGAGACCGAAGGAGTCAGGATTCGAGCAATCCCGCCGAATTTCGGGCTGACCTTTAATCACAGACCGACGTTTAGCCCGATGAGGCTTACTAACCACGGGCTGCGAAGCTCCGACCCCAGGATGGCCAACAGAGCTGGACCCAGCGTCGTCTGCGGCCAAAAAGTTGCCGCTAGCCACCCTCTCATCGGCATCCGACGAAGTCCCTTCGCGAATCGAAACGACCGGACTCTCGGCGGAGGACGGATCAGTTCTGCCGAGGTCGGAGAGATGATTGCAGCGGGAACAGATCTGACTGGACTCTAGATCGATGCGGCCCTTTATCAACGGTGGTTACGGAGACCACGACGGAAATATATCGGAGAAATC